AACCTTTGAACGGTACTACCGTATCTTTCGTAGTCATTATTGTTGTTTATCGCTACTCAAATGATGATTTTCGCAACACCCATTTCATTATTTAGGTATCTAGCTATTCGGCAAATGCTGTATTTATGCTCGCTACACGGCAGATAGAGATCGATGATCCTCGTCAGAACTCTGGCATTTTTATTTCTTGATATGCTGGATAGCACAACGGTTCCCCTCCTTATTAACTCTCGAAACACTTCTCCATCACAGATATTAGCGTCTCCCCCAGCTCGTTTACGATCTCAGCGACTAAATGGTACTTTGCCAGCCCAAAGACAAGTGCTTGGTTGAGTACCAATTCGGTTATGTCAACCCGTCCCAGGCCTGTCGTGTGACCGATAACGGCGACACGAAAGCATCGCGACAGTTTCGCATGATATTCGCTGGCAAGAAAAAAAGCACAATCATTGCCTTCTCCTAACTGAGTGACTCAACCAGCCACCGCACGCGCACAGTCCGTACTGGTTGCACTGGTTTTCGCGGGTGAAGTCGCGGTTTTACTCGCGTCTGTCGCGAAAATCTCCGACTGGTAATTTTCATAACCATCTGAGTCGTCGATGTGCGCATGATGTCACCGTCCGACCGCCCCACCTCGAGTAGTTTCGCGATCTTCCTAATCAACTATTATGCCATCCAGCGAGACTTCAACTTCAACGAATGCCACTCGTGACTGTGCAATAGCTGCCACGACAGCTGTGGGAGTCGCGCCTGCCACGTCGGTGACGGTCATACGAGTCTCCTCGTATTACAACGCCGGTGACTCAGCTCCCCAATATTCGGGTCATCTCGTCACGCTTCGCCATGCGGCCTTGAGGGAAATCCTCACTAATCTCGTCGAGCTTATGGATATCACTGACTCTGTTATCCGCGATCTTTGGGCCTGAGACCGGAACGCGAGACTGCAAAAGCACTGCGCAGTATCAGTAGCATTTGCCATCTAAAACTGTGGCAATAAACGTGCAGTGTGCACCACTACGAAGTTGGTATTGATGCACACGGCACGCTTAAAAGCAGAGCAGTTGTACGTTTATGAATGTCCAGGAAGGCTTATAGGCAATTTGGTAGATTAAAAAAGGAAGGTAAGAAAGAACATTGAAGGCGGTAGATGAGAGAGGGCTTGTAAGTGAGATTACAGACTAAGTGAGTTTGGATTTAGTTGGCTAAAGCTAGCTGCTCCTACGTGTCTTTCTCTACAACTTCTGCCCTCTTCACATAAGGCTTGGAACCTCGAATCTGGAAAAATTTAGTGACATTTTCCAGGTTCGAGGGGAAATCGCCGTCACGTAAGCACTAATTCGCCCTGGACCCCCCCCCCCCCAA